GCAGAGAAGACTGGCGCCCGTGTTTTAAGTTTTGGCCAGGAGGGATCCAAGGGGCGGGGGGGGGGGGGGGGGGGGGGGGGGCACCGAGAAAATGAACCATAAAAAGCACCACCGGCGGCGGTGGGACAACAACACCAGCAGCAGAGCTTCGGTGTGCTGCACCTACCGGATTGCTTACGCAAAGGCAAGTAAGCGTGCTATGAAAACAGATCAGCCAGGGGGGCACGCAGACCGTAACCCCAACTTAGCCGATTCAATACTGTATCCAGCATGTTTGCTTACTTGAGAAAATACCTGCGTAGGCTGTTGGACCTCTACCCACCACCGATGATTCGCACCTTGACGTCGTGCGTTGCCTGGGACTCGTCTAGCTCCTCAAACCCGGCCGCCAGCAGGCGACGGCGAGCCTCGGCGGTGGCGTGGTAGGCCGTCCATGCCTCGTTCAGGAAGTCCACGAAGTCCTCCAGCAGCGAGGCGGTCGCGGCGGCGTTGTCCGGGTTGTTATTCTTGGATGCCATGCTTTTTTTTGTGCTGCGAGGGGCTGAAGCACAGCAGCAGGCGGCATGACATGTGTTGGTGGTGGGCCTGCGTGCGTGCAACTTGTTGTTGTGCCAGTCTCTTCTCTTGAGGCAGCGAATCAGAAACTTGGGGCATTTGGTGGGCGCCAACGGGAACGGCCGCCAACATAAAAATACAATATGACGTTCAGCCATGACTGATGTGCATGTAGAAAACATCCAGTGAGAGCGACGAGGTCCCATGCTCTAAATTTTAATCCCGCTTCGGTTCGGCCAATGAGCAGTTCATTGATGGTTTCGGGCGGTAGGCGACTATTGTTGAGTTTTTTGGCGGTACTGCTGTACAGGTATGATGAGATATTTTTAGTACTTGCAGCTGCGCCTTTTTCGTGACAAATACTCCGAAGAATAAGAAACAACTGTCTCCAAAGCTTCTACTAAATAACGTCTTCACACATGCTCGCCAAGTAGACAACAGAGTATGCTAGTCGTACTGCGTGCGTCCCTCTACACAGCAGTGCCTCTGTACTCCGTACTCTGCTCCGTACATTCGCTTGTTCCTGCCTGGTTCCCGCAGGAAAATGGTTCGGCATTGGGTTCGCGGGAAGTTTTGTTCCCCTTTGGAATGGGGCCTTCTGCCGTAAGAACATCATCATCATTGCAGCCACAACCCACGACATATCGGAGAGAGAGGGAAAGAGAGTCAGCATGCTGGGGTTGATTGCCAATGACCACCAGCCATGGCAACATAACAACAAGATCCAAGGTCCCCTCAGCCCCATGCAGTCTATGCATCGATGGGTAAAGTTGATGTTGCCTCTACTGTGTCGCATGTTGCTACATACACGGACAGACAAATTCTTTGTGCAAGCTTCGCAGTACTCTCACCGAACTGACAAACGAAGTGCGCACGCTTGGAGAAGATACCCTCGATTAAAGCCCTCGCCTAACAACCACACGCGGAACTCCTGTGGAGGCTGGCTCTCCGCTGGTTGTGTGTTTCGCAGATGGGGGAGAAGAGGTACATGCCTGCCCGTTGTGCAATCTCCAATGCCGGCTGCGCGCCCCCCAATGTTCTCCATCTTGTTTTAGGTCTCCCTTCGCGCGGTGCGGTGCAGCTCTTGCTGTGCTCGGAATGGAATCTTGTCAGCATCAGGTGTGCGCTGATCTGTGCATGCTTACAACCGTTTGCCGCCCCCTGCACCCACTCCTCCATTGTTTCAGCAACCGATCGCAACAGACATGCAGACGATTGAAACATTGGAGGTTGACACATATTTTGAAATGCGATCCCACCACTGGGGCTCGAACGCGAGCGGGACGATTTGTCCACACGTCCACGCTGGGGTAGTAGTGTAGTAGTGAATTTTCCCCCACTGATGGAAACTTGGTGCTACGCTTGGGGCATGCACGTAAGTGGAGTACGCCAAGTATCACGTTGATGTTCGTGTACCAGTATGCGGGGGGGGGATCTCCGTAGAGGAAGGGCCAAAACGAAGAGCCCAAAACCCAATATTCGCACATCGCACGGTCACTACAGCAGCACTGCTGTACGTGTGTACTGCATGTGCCGAAGGTGCGGAAGATGGGTGACAATGTGCCACTCTGCTCTATCTATCGCTCTGCCTGACCCAACTGTCTCATTTGCATAAATATGCCCTATGTATACGGCTGTAGCAGAGACGCCTCGGCGGGGGAATACGCCTTTTACATTTTAAACAGCAGTTACGACTGCTGCATCACTGCTGCTGTTGTAGCGAAAAGAACCAGCATAAAAGGGTTATCATTTCAAAGGCGGAGGGGAGGAACAAAGACAAATGCCAAAATAATCTCACGCCGGGACGAAGAGTGTGCGCCTGTCCGGTGTGGCGCATTCTTCGCCGCCCATCGTCTCATCACACTCATCACGCAAGCACGAGTACAGCAGTATCACGGCAGGAGCGAGCGCTGTTCTTTCAACGATCAACGGTAACTACTCGCGGCCGATGTCGCTTCGCTTTCGAACTGCTGTTGTGGCGCCGCTGCACGTTCTGAGTTCGTTCGTGAATCAGCGGCCAATCAATACGATGTGTGCGCACGGCAAGAGGAAACAAACATGCACCCATGGCTTGATGCTGCTGCTTGAGGTGGCGATGACAATAAGGCCGGAGGAGTTGGTATGATGCTGAACGTACAACGAGCACACAACCGTACAGCAAACAGCGTTATCTTCAAGCGGCGGCAGCCGCTAATAGACACTACTCTAGTAGAACATTACACACTCTCTCTCTCTCTCTCTTCGTCTCTCTCTCTCTCTCTCTCTCTCTCTCTCTCGCTATGCTATATCCCGCTGGTGCAGGGTATGCCTCGCTGCAAACAGAACAGTACCAACCCACAGGTCTTTCCAACTGTAATAACTGGGGGCACTCTCATCCTCGGCACAGCTATAATACAATACTTTTCAGCTACAAGTACTATCTCATCATTGGCCTTCTTCATGATCCTTCGGCCCCGACCGTAAGACAGCAGCTACACGAGGAAGCGAGCGCGGCCCCAGAGCGCCAAAATCTACAAGTTTTGTTTTTTTCCGTTGGCCCCGCCGGTAAAAAGTAACAGGGGGGGGGGGGGTGCGGGCGGTCTCAAAAGAATGGAACATCGTGGTACGCGTCCATCCACATAGTAATTGCATGCCACTTAGAAAGTGGCCGGTCGGAGTGTCACCGGTGGACCACACGCACCCATGTCACCCACGAGGGGTGACGTCATTATTAATCTTCCCCCCTGTCGCACTATTGAGCACCACCGCCTGTAAGGGTACGCGGGTCGCCGCGGTTGGGGGTACGGAAGGGTCTCACCATCAGTGCTCTTCTCGGCGGTTTCAATCAAGAAGAAGTTATGCATACCGCAATTTATTCTGTGTGCGAGTTCTGGCGGTGGGGCCCTGTGGATATTCGATGAGCATATTAGGTCCAAATCTATTTGATCATGTTCACTCGTGAGCCATCACGCTGAACTTTCGATTTTTCGACGTGAACGTAGTGGGACGATAGTATGGGTGCTTGTGGGCAAAAAATGTACCATTCAACGTGACTCCGTGTTTATCATTTATTCTTATTGCGCCAAGAAACCCTGTTATGTTTCTTTGGTGCAAGCGTAAATAGGAGATGCCCTCGCTCCGCACATGCATGCCGTGGGGTAAGCTTCTTGTGTAGTCCGTCGAATAAATACATTACATGTGCTGACTACAGTATACGTGAAACCTCTAACACTATGATAACATCGCGGCTCTCTCGTCACCGGACGCGCGATTGGACCCAGACGTGGATACTGCAAGGAAGGATCCATCACAGGGTAAATAAACCTTCTTGCCCCCCCCGACCTATTCTTGCGCCAAAACATCACCAAAATGCAGATGCTTGGAGCCCCTCTGATCGGCGGCGGCGGCGGGAGCGGCAGTGCGTCTTACGATGCGCTGTTCCAGGGACTTGTCGGCAGCGGCTGCGTCGCGGGGCTGGCCCTGCTGGATGCCTCGCGAGGACGGCCGCTGTATGAGAACCGACTTGACGACCGGTTGCCCCGCCCTCCTCCGGCCGCCGGCACAGCTGCAGCAGCAGCAGCGGCAGCAGCAGCAGCTGCAGCAGCAGCTGCAGCAGCAACAGCAACAGCAGCTGCAGCTGCGGAAGCAGAAGCAGAAGCAGCAGCAGGGAAGGATAACAAGGATGACGAGAAGGAAGTAATAGGTGCAAGAGGTGGAGGAGAAGGGCCCGGCCGCCGGTACGGGTTGGTGTCTCCTTCCGAAGGACAGCGGCTGGTAAGCAAGCAAGGCGCGTCCAGTCATTCACTGCCTCCCTGCTGTTTGGCACCCTTCTCCACCTCGAGGCGTGGCCGCCCTTTCGATGGTGACCCTCGGTAGTGGGGAGTAGTACACCGACAGATTGCTTGAATAAATTGAAACTGAGATATGTCTGTCTATTGGCCACCGCACGAGATGCTTCACCATCATCACCCCCCACCACCACCACCACCACCTCTGGCAAAGCAGGAAGGAACCATTGGCCGTCGCCGTCGGTGATAATTGGTCCTGTGAGAACAACGGTTTAACAGCTAGTAAGGCATGACGCGTGGTCAATGGTTTAATAGCCAAGGCAAGCAAAACATGAGTACGCCCCCCCCCCCGCCCCCCTCCCGGTGTTTGCCATCGGGGTTGGGTTTTCGTCGCTTGGCAACGACGTTGTAAAACAATGCCGCCCCCCCCGGTGTTTGCCATCGGGGTTGGGTTTCCGTCGCTTGGCAACGACGTTGTAAAAGAAGCCATTTCACATCGTGAACTCGGCAACCAGGTTTCCGGGGTTTTTTTTACCTCTTTTTTTTTTTTTGCGCGGTATCCATGAATGGTGGTCGAGTAGATCATGTTGTGCGGGGTCGAGAACCCTCACTCCGCGCAAGGGGGATGATCGCACCACGTTGTGTTAAAATGGTCAAGCGTCCTCGAGGCAGTTACACAGTGCTTACAACTGTCTCTGGAAGTGAAAGCACCAGAAAATAAATTAAGTCATACGCAGCTGTCGTCCGTACGCAAGGAAGTAAGCACAAGATGCCGAACACCCTTAGCAGGATGCAGCTCACCCTTCATGCGACTCGCCGAATACCTCACGGTGCTTCGCGCTTGGTGATGTGAGAGCCTGGTCCGGTGAGAACCCGGCGTGCTCCGTCCCGGCTTTGTATGGATGCGAGGTCAATGGTCTAACGACTACGGCATGCACGACTATGAGTACCCCCCCCCCCCCAGGAAGGAAAGAGAGGATCTCGAGGAGGAAATGAGACAGAGAGGGTGTGACATGGACAAGTTTGGTAAATTAGACAACAGCGATAAAACGATCGCGATAATTGGGGATAGATGGTGGGCACAAGAGGCCCTAGAGGACGGGGATAAGATGTGCAAGAAATTTTTATGGAGTTTGTGGCAGAAACGTAAAGAGCTCCCAAATGTTGGTGGTGTCTCTAGTAGGTGTAGGAACGGT